CGATGTGATTAATTTTAAGTGATATTTAATAAATACGTACCCGATTTTCCCATTATTCTATATATCATCCAATATTTATTACACCAATAGCAAAATCATCTCTCCTTGCTCAATACTATCATCTGCCTTGAACTTATTTGTTAGACCAAACTCAGTAATTATCTTGACTCTTCTTTCGTTAAATAGCTCAATAATAAAACTAATTATCTTGGATAGCAGCTTAACTCTGCATAATGAGTATGAAGTGTTTTTAATAACACTGAGTCATAAGTCTTTTTTATATTTTGGAGTATCAACCACAACTTCTTTTTACTCTCATGAGTATTCTCAACTACCATTTCAACCAGGTTGATTGTCTCCTTTTTTGACAACCTGGCAATTCTACATAATTCGGACCATGCAATACCTCATTTCAACAAAGACTTTAGTCATTCTTTTTATTAATAAGTGGGTAATGCACTTTTTAAAAGTCTTTAACAAAGCAATTGGCCTAATATTGTATTATTAAAAATCTCAGTTTTCATCTTTTGGAATAGGGTATATTTGTAATAGCTTCTATTTATCTGGAATTCTACTCTCTGCTAAGTACAAACTTGCAAATCTTCTAAATATTTTGTGAACTTCAATATTAGCATTTTTAATTAAAATGTACCCAATCTCAGTAACCCCAGGTGTAGTTTTATTTTTGGTTTTTTCTATTGCTACTAACTACTCTTCAAGTGTGATTTCACTTTCAAGCTTAGTATACTACTCCTTTTTTACGTCCTCAAGTAGTGTATAAAATTCTTCGAGCACTCTTCTGTTTTCACACACCTCTTTTTCTTTAAACTACCTTTGGAAATAAGCTGATATCTTCAAAAATACTTCATTTGTTTCATTATACATTATCTACTTTTTGTTTTTTTTCTCTAATACTTCATTTATTTTAATCTTTCTGAATAGCTTATTTAAAATATTTGCTAACATTATGCCAACTTCACTATCAATTCTTTTATATTTCTATATTATTGCTGCTTTTATTTTTTTACATATAGTTTTATCTATTTTCACTTTTTCTTGTACTTACATTGCTTTTCAACACATTTTTGCATGACATGTCCACTTATGCAATGCTTCTTTTTCATATATACTGCAAATTAGCATAGGTATATCTGCCTGGTGTACACTATTAATTTACTCAATCTCACTGCTAATCGCTACAATATTAATTGACTGATCTTTATGAATTGCAGTCTTTTTAACTAGCTGGATTATTTTACTTAGTTTGACTGTGCTCTTGTGCATCTCAGTTGGCTTGCACTTTTTTGTTTTATTGTTCAAACTACTAGATACTTTCTTTTTCAGAATATTTTTATTTGCTGCTCTTCTAACTGTACCTGCTAGAATGTTTTAAATTAAATTGAGTTTGTTAGATATAGTCAAAGCCCAACATCTTGCAAGTGCTTGATTATCTACAATCAACTTTTTAAGATCTTTTTGGTACTGTTTTCAATCTTCTTTTGTTGCTTCATTGTATAGATAAATATTTCTTGAAATTTCTTTCTTTCTTTTGACTACCACACTATGAAACCGGACTAAATGCTTCATTGTGATGCTAGCTATTACTATTGCATGATCACTTCTTGTTATTATATTAGCCTCTTCAATATTAGCTGCTAATACCCCATACTTCAGCTCTTCAAATACCCATATCTGATCAATTCTTGTCTTGACACCTTAATTAAACTAAGAATACTTCATAAGATCTGGATTGACTATTTTAAATATATCAACGAAGTCTTGGTTTTTAAACCATTTATGCAAAAGAAGCAACTTGAAAGTTATACTGCTTCTATTACTGCACTTATCTAACTCTCTATCTACAACGTGATTAAAATCACCTATTATCACAAATTGCATATTGCTTGTTCTTAGTATAAAGCTTATTATAATTTTTTGTTAAACACTATTGATCAACATCTTTTCACTTAGCAGCAAGTACACTACTATAACAACTACTACTATCTGTTTAAAGTAAAACTGAACCTCAATCATATATTCCTCAAATCTAAAAACCTGCCCCAAATGCCTTTTCCACCATGAACCAACTAGTAAACCTACATCTGAACTTTTTTTTTTTGTTACTTCATATTGAGACCAGAGACCTTTCATATTAATTTCATCTAAACTAAATCTTAAATCTTTTTTACTTGAATTTGTCTCAACTAAACCCAATAGATTGACTTCATTTTCGATTGACTTCATTTTCGATTGCCCACTCTGCAATTGCCTTTAATTTAATTTTGTTATCTCTTATACTATTAATATTGTGACATGCTACACTGGCCCAACACCCAATTTTTTTTTTTTTTTGTAGTGTTAAATACCAATAGTGCAATTTTTTTTAATATTAATAAAAAAAAACAACTATTATTTAAACTTTAACAAAAAAAAAAAAAAAAAAATTTAAAATTTACTTTTATTTCTAATAATTATCTGTAATAAATATTAGTTATTTTTATAAATTTATTCAATTTTTTTTTATAAAAATTTTTAATTAAATATGAATAAATGTTTTCGAAATATATATTAACAATTTTTTTTAAAAAAAAATTAAATTTTTTTTTTTTTCAAGTTTCATAACACATCTGATAATGCAATCTAATTAGCTTTCTATACAAATAAAAATATCTATTTTAAATATATTAAAACAGATTTAAATATAGAACTAAATTTATAATAATAACTAATATTTTATCATAATTATACCAGACCGTTCTATCGAATAGTACCTTCCTTTAAGGTTTTTACAGTCACTACACCTTTGCTAGTCTCAAAAGGAATATCTTTGTACATAGCCACACCCTCTTCATTTACTCGAAGTCCTTCAGCAACTTGATCAAATACTTTTTGTTTAGGATTTAATATTTCATTATCTCTTTTTGCAGAACCAAAGCCTTTCCAAACTATTTGTTCACCAATTTCAGAATCCACAGGTGGATCCAATAATTCAATTTGAGTGCCATCTGGCGAAGAAGCAGCAAGAAGCATAGCTTGAGATTCAATACCTTGTAACCTTGCAGGTTTTAGATTACATACGGCAACAACATAACGACCTTGGAGTTGTTCCAATGGAATATGATTAGCAAGACCTGAAACTACAGTTCGTGGGTTACCAGATGCGTCACCAACATCAACAGTCGATACATAAGATTTGGCGTTTTTCGGATGATTCTCCGCTTTTATAATTTTCGCAACTCGAACATCTAATAGAAAGAGAAAATAGAAAGTTAAATATAATAATTTATATAAAAAAGTAAAATGAAATATAAAAATAATCACCTATCCTTGAAACATCCACAGGCAACTCTGTAGGAGTGTTAGAACCTTTAGGTGGTTGATTATGTTTTTTTGATTCTTTCTTTTTTGTTATTTTGCTACCTGGCTCAGGATATGCTTTGCTAGTTAATTTCGATAGTTCAGGATCGCATGCCCATTTTTTTCTAATAGGATCCAATAATTTGTTAATACAATCCGATGCCGAATTTTTTAAATCACCAGGATGAATTTTTTTATCACGAAAATCATCTTCTAATGATTGATAATCAGTATAGATAGCTTGACCACCAAATTTTTCAGGACGATTAATCACGAATTTCGGAGTTTGACCATTAAGCGAACCGAGTGGAAATAAGACAAATTTTATGAAGGAAAGAACACCATTATCAGTAATATTACCTTCCTCACAAAAAGCTTTTTTCAATTTACGAGTCACAGTAGCTTCATCATCAAGAAGATCAATTTTTGAATCAGGATCAGAAGAAGACATTTTTTGAACCAGCAAGACCAGGAACCATAGGATTCATAAGATGAGCGCGTTTTTTATACCCAAGATGAGGTAAATATTTTTCAGCAAATACAAAAATTTTTCTTTGATCAACACCACCAAATTGAGCATCTACTTTTAAGTATTCTTCATCTAATGCTTGTAATCCAGGGTATAATAATCCTGATAATAGAGGAGACTCAATTTGTTTGACAACCTCAGCACCAGCTTTCTTTGCATCATGTTCTGTTACAGTAGCACATAATCTATAATTATCCATACTATATTCTTTAGTAAGTTGGTAAGTTGAGCCAACAACAAATTTTAATTTATCGATAGGTACGCCGATTGATTCAAGAACAGTTTTAATAAGTACTTCATAATATTTTGTTCGATGATTTACAAGTTCCAAAGGTGCTTTCATATTATCAAGAAACGCATGAATATCAGCTAAAAGAATAGTAACCTAAATTAAATAATAAAATATAATATTATTTAGTATGTATTTATTTTGAATTCGAGCGTTAAAAAAGAGAACAAACCTCGACTCCAGAAGATAAGAAGTCAGCAATTTTTGACATTGGAACAAAGTAACCAATATGTGGCTTGCCAGTTGGAGCTGTGCCCCAATAGAGTTTTAAATCTCTTTCCTTTAAAATATTTAAAATTTCTTCTTCACCCAGTACTTCTTGAAGGTTTCTTGTTATGAGTTCATATTTCTGTTCTGGAGTCATTACGTTCGCCATTTTTCTTTTCTGTATGAATAAACGTTAAGGGAGATTATCAAAATTTCAAACTCTATTTCTCGAGTTTATATTAATCAAATAGTGGCTGCGGCAATTTTAAGCCCGACTGAGTCATAATAAATCAAAATGATTTAAATCTCCATTGTCCTACAAATAAGGAATTTTATAACGACCAAGATAGTTTTAGCGTTATCTAAACAAAGCATTATCATTGTGCCATTTTAATCTTCAAAGCCTTTTTCTTTTTGCGCGTTAAGTTGTTTATATGATGAATCACCTTAAAGATAACCAAAATTACTAAGGATCTTGCATGTAAGTTCTTTAATGAATCGGAGCGTACGTAGCGATTCCTGGAAAAAGCTACAATTTTTTTGGTTGTCAATACTACGCCACAATTAGTGCCATATCAGATATCGATATGTACGCACGTACGATTAAGAATCTATCAAATAAACTATGCATGTGTATCGGTTAAAGTTGTAATAGACCTATTCCAAAGTCACGATATATTAATTAACCGTTACGTGTACAAGTTTTCGTTACCCAAAGATCCAAGATATTATTACAACGCTAATATTTGTCTCAAATCTAGACACTAATTTTAAATGAGTATTTGATTTTAACGTTCCTCTGGGATGTTAATCGATTTGTTTTTCATTAATCGTTTTTGTTATAATAAAATAGCGGGCTAAAAATGGCGCGAAATTTCGTAAGATGTAGATTATGCTACCCGGACAATTGATTTACATAAACCAATTAGGCGAAAGTCTGTCTATAAACCCGAACCTGGTATGATATTCGAAACCAGGCCGGACCGAGGAACCCTCAATTTACGGAAAAAGAGGTAATAGGTTGAACTTTTTTTTTAAAGGAAATAATTGCTAATAATTTAAAGTTACTATCACTGCTCCTTTTTGAGATTAATAAAAATCGCGATAAAAACAAACTTTAGTTTTAAACATATACCAAATTATTTAGAAGTAAATTTATACACTGCATATCGATATTAGATATTGGGACAACTTAACAGTCAGAGGACATGTCCATATATAAGAGCTTGCATTGCTGTTACTTATAAATCAAATGAGTTGACTCACCTCA